CCCTGTGTCTGCAGAGAACTAAAATCTCTGCATTCATGCTGTGCACTAGTTAGTACTGTCACTACTGTAACTGGTAAGGTGAAACACTGAAGAAGTTACAAAGTGTTTGCCTTTTTAGAGTATCACGAAATAAAACTTTTGCCCTGTCTACTGCTCCACAGAGGAAGATCAGCTCTTAAGATAGTGCAAGATACAAAAAATACGCTCTCTTTTCTTCACAGGCAACTAGAAGAACAGTAAAGCTCAACTAACACTGTTCCTTCACTATAATGCAATATCTACCAGTAGCAATACTGAAATGTTCTTATTTTCCTGTTTCTGTTTATCAAAGTGTTACAAATTTGCATTCCCAGTTTTCTGAAAGATTATTTTTGAGGATTCAGATGTCTTTAAGCATCTTTGTCTCTTACAGAAGTAATGTGCAGATAAACGTTTCTCATACTAGACATGAATTAAATAGCTAAGTTTTACACAGTCTACATAAAAGTCACTCTTTCTTCATCCAGGTTTAACTTCTACAGTATGCACACCGCCATAAAACAATTAATGATTCAGTGATTGAGGAAGAATACAACAAGAAATCAACAGGAAAAAGAACCCTCTAATACATATGCAAATTAGATGAAATAAATACACATGCTACCCATCTATGAATAAAACCCAGAAGCTTGAAGTAACACATAAATCTGGACTGTGAAAAGAAACATAAGGAACACCCACTTAATTTCATTTTCCTTGGAGAACCACTTAAGAAATAATATAATTTCTCCCTAATGAAATTATCTAAATCTTAGGTGCTGTAATTGCACCCACAAGCCTTCTTTGCCCTGTGATAGGTCTGAAACCTTAAATCAGTGTAATTTGGTAGTTATATTAAAGCTTTTTCCTGCAGTCTGGCAGCATACAATTCTTCAGTGCTTACCGAATAAGGAAAAGATCACCAGACATGTAAGTACATTTCAATAATAAACAGTGAAGTCTTGCTCAAAGTATTAAGAAATCTAGATTCAGCATGAAGTACATCATGAGAGCAATTAAAACGTCATGTCATCTTGGCCACTTTCAAAATCGTTTTCAAAACATGCCATACTTAAGACCACATTGAAAATACTTTTTCAAAAACACTTCTTCCAAAGAAAAGGGAGTAATTATATTTAAACCATTTTACTAGAATTTAGTTTTGCTATGGATGTTCCTTTTCGTTCCAAGAGACCCGCTTCAAAAAACACAAGTGTTGGATACCCAAGTGCGAGTATACACGCTAATAACACTTGAAAGAATCACCACCTCCAGCAAAGTGAAACCTCTAGCACAAACTCATCCCAAAACATAGAACAACAAGGCTAAATATCTCAGAGGCTTAGTAATCTAGATTACTTGTTCAAATTCAGCCAAAACTAGGAGTAGTGACTAGTTCACCATTGGCAGGGTAATCTAGATAAAGCAGTTGGTATTGATCTTGTGTCACACAAACACCAATGAGAGAAGAAAGAAACGTCCATACATGAGTTGTTCCTTTTAACGAGTCCCATAGGCCTGGAATTCAGGAGAAAACAGTTGGTTTGCACCTATGTATTCTACCGTAATTTCATCTAGTATTTCAATATTCACTTTATGGTTACACCAGGGCTAGCTGAGATAAACATAGCACCCCTCAGAGAAAACAGGACTCTTAAACCATACATCAGGAGACCTGGTCTCTACCACCTGGGGGAGGTGGGGGGGGAAATCAGCCTTTGCTCTAATTTCTTTAGGTGCAAAACTGAGAGAATTGTATTTCTTCCTAAGGTGCTTTCAGAACTTTAAAACAAGGGATGCTGTTTGACAGCTATTATTTTGCTGGCCACTGCAGCATAACAGGATATGGACTAAGCAGTCTTGGAAAATAAAGCTGCAGTTTCTCATAAATTTTTAGCAGAAACAGAGCTTTACCAGTGTAAACCAGCCAGTCCACTTATCTCCCACCACTTGCTACTGCCAGCATAACCATTTCTAAGGCCACACAGAGTGAACCGAGCTGAGGAACTTACCCAGATAAACAGTAACTTTTTTTTCTGGTGGGTTGTTTCTTTTGGCAGTGGTGTTGGCTAATAGCAGTTTGGTGTGTATGTGAAACTACAGTCTTAATTGCTCAGAAATCCAGTTAAATTCGTCCTCCAGTTTAATGAACTACAAGAAAGAAAGTACTACCATTGACTACAGTTCACCTTGCCTTATATTCAAACCTCAAAATTCAGAGGTCACCTCCTCTTACAGACATCTGCACACGTTTTAAAGCAAGAAAGTTTCAACTGCTCAGTAAGAAACTGATCTCTGCTTTGTACTTCTAACCAGCAAACACAAGCTGTATCCCAGGGAACTGACATCTGTTCCCCCTCTTGCAGTTTTGTGTCATTACATGTAAATGATAGATCTGTTTGTCAATGCGGCTCTTTCCACTGATGAAGTTCTCCACTTTCCTAAAGGAGTTAGAAAAATATTTTCTCCTTTCTTGTCAAAATACGAGGATAAAATATTTTTCTCTACAGATCAAATTGTAAGGGGAAAAAACCCACCTGTCTTTTTAATGTATAATTATTAAAGATTGGACTTAAAAATAGGTATTTGAATGAGAACATAGAATGGTTACACACAACTGTCAAGGACTTCCAAGTTTTTCTGGGGGAAAAAAACCACACATCTTTGTAAGAGATCTGTAACTTCTCATATCTTCAGAAGTTTTGAACATACTTTTAAATACTCGTATTTCCAGTTAAGTATTGAACGCCACTTATTAATCTATTGTGGGTCGCTCTCTTATGTACCTCTTCTAATAACTCATTTTATACCTAATCACAGTACTTTATTGGTAGGAAAAAAAGTATCAAGAATCTAGGAGACGCAAAATGAAGTCTGCAGGGGCTTGGTTCAAACCAGCCAAAGGAAGCTGCTCTTCAGACGACAGGTCACCGAGCCATAAAGCAGCTTCCCACAGGATTCATTCCCAACGCTGAAAGCTTCCATCGGATGGGGAGAAACCCGGCCGCTGAAGGCGGCGGACAGGCACAGCCCGGCCGGC